TTTTTTTTTTTTTTTTTTTTTTTGGTGGACCCAGGGACTAAACTCAGACCCTTCTTATTCTACTGAGCTATCTCCCTGGCCCCTGGAAAACTTTCTTTACTTCACCGGGTTTAAATTTCATTGATAAATAAAATTAGGTCAATAGTAAAACCTTATGGGACCGTTCAAGCAACAATACATACTTGTAAAAGACATCTGGTGACTAACTAGTGCAGTAAATTTAGGATAAATGTTAACTAATATTACCACAAGCCATCCACTATACTTGCCTACCATAAGCACTATTAAAAAAAATTTCCTTGGTGGTATATTTTATTTCTTCTGTATTTCCCTCATAGCAATCAGATACAAACATTTAAAATTACAAACATTCTAAAATTCTAATGCTTAACGTCTAGTAAGTTGTCTCAAAAATGATCATATAATCGTTCCTGTTACACAAAGCTGAAAATTATATTGCAGACAAGCTAACAACATAACATCCAAGAAAGAAAGGTACACAGCAGCTTAAATAAAGTAACCAAGTATAAACCCTATTATAGGATCTGACAAGACTTTTTTTTTTCTTCTGTGGAACTAGGGATTGAACCCAGGCCCTTACACTTGCCAGGCAAGCACTTATTCAACAGAGCTATCTCCCCAGCCCCAATAGTCTAGGCTTGAGTCCAAGACTTGGATGCCAGCACCAGGCTTAACCACTGTGCTGAACTGCCTGCATGCAACAGCTCTTACCCAGAACGGAGAGGCGAGGCTGGCCCTGCTAGAGCCTGAGTCACTCGTTAATTTGTTTTGTTTTTGTTTTTTGTTTTTTCCTTTGTGGTACCAGGGACTGAACTCAGGACCTTGCGCTTCCCAAGCAAGTGCTTATTCTACTCAGACAGTTGGTGGACAGACTTCACTTCAACTTTCAATGTTTAAGAGCACAAGTAGAAGCCAGGGAGATAGCTCAGTGGCCTAAGCACCTGCCTGGCAAGCCAAGGTCCTGAGTTCCATCCCTGGTTCAGCAAAAAAAATATACATATTTTTGCTCTTAGGAGCCAAAATAAACCTATCCTTTCTTGAGGAGCTGGCATGGTGACACATGCCTCTGAGACCCTAGATCTCTGGCTGAAAAAGTAGCAATCCTTGCCTTCAACAAGTTTATATTTAGCCAGTGACATGTCCCTTTAATCATAGCAACTCTGGAAGGCTGAGGTAGGAGAATTCCAAGTTTGAGTCCAACCTAGGGAATTTAATGATTTGGTAAGACCCTCCCTGTCTCAAAAAACAAAAACGGGGAGGGATGCTGCTCTTGAAAGGCCTTGGGCTCATTCCCCAATACTGAAAAGAAAAGGGAAGGAAAAGAGAGGGGAGGAGAGGGAAGTGGAGGAGAGGGGAGGGGAGGAGAGAAGACCACCTCTACCTTAAGGAAGTGGAGAAAGTAAGTAACATCTCAGGTATACCTGATTGATCACTGTTAGGAAGATAAAATAAGAAAATGTGGTAGAGTGACTATTTCCTGCATCCTTCTCAGCAGCATTTACCAAGCAACTGCATTTCTCATTTGAAACATTAACTTGCCTTGTCTTTCCTGAAACTCCACTCTTCTGGTTTTCTAGCTGTTCCTTCTCAGTTTACCCAACTGCTGACCTCTCTTACTTTATCCACTGGGAATTTTTCTGGAAAAGGATGGTTATTTCTTTCCACTACATACGTGTGTGTGCGTATTTCCTATCTTTTTTTTTTTTTTTTTTCCCAGAACCGGGGATTGAACTCAGGTCCTCACGCTTGCCAGAGAAGCGCTTATTCCTCTGAGCCATCTCCCTGGCCCCAAGCTGATCTTCCTTAATCTTGACTGTTTTGCTTTGCTTCTGTGACAGGGTCTCACTGTGAAGTTCAGGGTGGCCTTGAAACTACTATGTAGCCCAGATGACCTGGAACTCACAGCAATAAATCTTGGCAGGGATTACAAGTATGGGCCACCACACCCTAATCATTTTTTAAAATGTATTTTAAATGTATTTTTAAATTTTCAGTGACACAGGAGTTGGACTTATTTTGTGACCTACAGAATGACATTTCTGTACATGTATACAATATGCAATTATCAATCAAGGTTCACCAATTTTAAGGTTTTCAATAAATAAAAAGTGATAAACTCCTAAATTTCTATTTCTATTTTTTTTTCTTTTAAATCTCAGATTCACATAGCTAGCCATCTGCCTGCCTGAGAATGTATCATCTTTGTGCAAACCTACTACCTCTGTCTTCACTGTCTCTCATTAAGTGATGCCATCAGCCACCAGACACTAAGGCCAAAAGTCTGGAATTCACCCTTAACACTATCTCTCCCTGACATGCCAAACAAAGAACTGATTGATTCCACCACCAAAATATGCATTCACAGCACCACTCTTTCCACCTTAAAAACATTCTCCTATCAATTAAGATATCCTACATCAATACTTCAAACAGAACTGCACACACAACCTAATAAATACTTTAAACAGAACTGCACACACAACCTAATCTATCAAAATTAGCATTTTATTTCCTCTTTCCCTCCTTTTATACACATAGCTTACAGTTCCTATGAAACCTGATCCTACTGCACTTCCTCTTTTCCCAAATGTTTTAATCTAAATGTTTTCTTGCCATGAGTGTTTTTAGACTATTACCATACTAAATGAGAAAAAAAACAAAAAAACAAAAAAAAAACAACCATGGTCTTATACTGCACATCTTTAAAATTACATAAACAAGGAGTTGAAGGAATAGCTCAATGATACAGTACTTACCTTGCATGCCTGAGACCCTATGATCAATAACCAATACAAAAAAGCGCCACAAATGCATATCTGACTTATTCTGTAGATGTAGTTCTGGGTCATTCATGTAGTTTTAGTCACTTTAATATATTTAATTCCTTTATAATGTTTACCTATTTCCTTATCCATACACATTTCCTAATTTTCATTTACATTGATGTGCCATATATTCTAGTACATTCTTCCTATGATATATGAAACAATTTCTCTAGGACAAATCCTTAGTTATGAAATCACCAGGTAAATGTTCTCTTTAATGAGAATAGTTATACCAACTCATATGGTAGCCATGCTTCAAATTCTCATTCTTGATATTTTTAATTTTTTTTTTTTTATGAGCAGAATATATTTATTGAGAGAAAGAAAGCTCCTGTCCAAGAGAGGGACAGGAGGGGGGGATATTTTTAATTTTTGCCAACTTAATACTTTGAAGTGTTATTTGATGTTTTAAGTTAATTTTATTTCCATTGAAGTTCTCACATTTATTCACCATTTAGGTTTTCTCCCTCATGATCTGGCCCTTCAGATTCTTTTACTTAATACTTGTACAATCTCCATAAATATTCTGGATACTCATCCTTTGTTGTACTGCACATATCCTAAACATATTTTATTGTACAGAAGTTAATTTTAATGTAATCAAATGTACATTATATAGGTTTTCCTGTAAGTATATATATTCTTTCCCACTCCAAGATCAGATTTTTCCCCCTCTTCTATGTTTTACATGATATCAAGTTTTACTTTTTCACAGTTTGAACCCTCATCTACCTTGGTTTTATATTTGTGTATTGGAGATTGTAAAATAGATCCCATGGACCAAAGCTAGTTTATTAATAGTTTTTTTACAAATAAAAGTTTTGGGTCGGCTAAATAGCTCAGCAGATTAAAGTGCCTAAAAGCAGACTCAGGGGCCAGGGGTTCCTTCCGGGCCTGCCATGCGCACTGAGATGGCAACTGAGACTGGGCATGGTAGCATGTGCTGGTAATCCCAGCTCTTGGGAGGCTGTAAACAGACAGATCACTATGAGGCCAATCTAGTAGTGAGACCCTGAACACCCTGTAGACCCCTCCCTAAAATAAAATTAAAAACTTAAAAACCAAACAAAGTTTTATTGTAACAAAAGCCATGCCCATTTGTTTATATAATGTCTATGACTATAAGGACAAACTGTAACAGATACCCTAAGGCCTGCAAAGCCTAAAATAAAGTATTTACTTTCTGACCCTCTAGAGGAAAAAATTTGCTGACCCCATGACAAAATTTTTTTGCCAGATGGGTAACCAGCATCATTTACTGCTTAATCTATCCTTTTCCAACTGACTTGGAACTTGTTATTTTATACACCAAGTTATATACATACCTAGATTTGTTTCTGTGCATTTGTTTTGAAAATACACCACCAGAGTAAAACTAGGGAAAAATGAAACTCATATATATGGCCATAGCAAAATGTGCTTTCTCAATTTTCAAAACAGTAGCTCCCTTTTGACATTTAAGCAGAGATTTAAATGACATCCCCTGGGCTGGCCAAATAGCTAAGCGGACTACCAGGGTTCAATTTGCGAGGCCTAGGAGGCTGAAAACAGGAGGATCACTACGAGTTCAATCTGTGTAGTGAAACACTGTAGACCCTATACTAAAATACATTTAAAAAACAATAAAATAAACAAATAAAAACAAATAAATGATACCTCCTCATAGAACTTCCTTGGCCAGCCAATCTATACAGAAATGACTATGGACCTGAAGAGAGAAATTCAAAGGATGTACTAAAGCTGCTTTGTTTTGTCTTTCTGAGACAAGGATTTTGCTATGCAGTTCAGGCTGGCCTTGAACTCACTTTGTAGCCCAGGACAGCCTGGAACTAGAAGCAATCCTCCTACCTCAGCTGCCCCTGCCAGTGGTACTCAAGTTTTAGCCTGAGCAATTAAAGGCTAAAAACTTGATGAATGGGTTAGAAGGACTAAATCTAGAGTCAAATTTTAGCTATTGTAAGTAAATTTATCAGATAGGGTTTTAAAGTGGACCAACAGATATACCAGTTTGGATTTAGGGGTGAGTAGCCAAGTTGGAAATATAAACTTGGGAGTCATAAACACAGAGATGGTATTTAGTCTGGATAGGGTCTCTAATAAGACTGTTTCCATCTTCTACTCTTCCCACAACTAGTCTTCATAAAGTTGCTAAAACAACCTTTTTGAAACAAGGTTAGATCATCCCTTTTTTAAAACCTTTAAAATAATATTCTTTCTACATTTGAAATAAAACCTAACCACATCCTATAAAGTTTTCAATTATTTGCTCCTTGCTATCTTTCCATGCCCCAAACACAGTAGTAGCCTCCCTCCCTTCTGGAAGGCACATTATGCTCCTCCTTCCTGTGGTGAAAGTGTTGTTCCCAGGTCTCTCTAAATAACCTCCTGCTTAATCCATTAGCTTTGTTTCAGTATACTTTGCTGAGTCCTTTCTCTTAACATCCAACCAAAATGTTTCTCAAGTTACTGCTTCATCATACTTCATTCACTTTCTAGGTTCATCACCCCCCCGACACACACACACATATACACAATTTGTGCCTGGAAGAGCATAGATGCTCAAAAGTATTTGTTGAATAGTCAACAGTCAGCTGTGCAACAAGCAATCAAGCTCATTCTTTTTTTTTTTTTTTTTTTGTACTGGTACTCAAACTCAGGACCTTGTGCTTGCGAGGTAAGCACTGTGCTGCTAAGCTTTATCCCTGGCCCAGCCTCATTATTCTTAAAATGCTTTCTTAAAAACAAACACAAAACTCTAAGCACTTCCACACTGTCAAATTATATAGCTAACTATGAGTGGCCCTCTCTAGCTATTAACTATACTAAAGGTACTTATTTTAATAAGGCTTCCTACCACTTAACCAGTTTCATTCATTCATCATCTAGCATCAGTTACTAAGACCCTGCCTTTCTGAAGAGGAATTCCTTAGCCAGTGTTGAACACAGCATTTAATCACTTTTCAGTTGAGAAGACAGAAAAATGGGTTAACTTGCCTCTCCATTGTTACACAGTAACAGAGTGTCATGTGAACCCATGCCTCTGATTTAGTGTTTTTTCCAAAACTTGTTCCTGTCTGGTACACTTTCTCCGAAGCACAAGAACTGGCAGGATAACAATTACCAACAAGAAACTCACTTGTTCACTTTGGTTGTGTATTTAATGAAATGCAACAACATTCCTGGGATCAACAACCTTCCATGCTGCCTCTACTTGAAAATTATCAGCTCTTACAACTGAAATACACGTCGCTCATGTATAAAGTTAAGGCCCAGTAGCTAGAAAATTTAACCAAGTCATCAAAAGTCTTCTTCAACAGGAAACTTAGTAATAAGTAATTTTATTTTAGGAACAACAGTACACTTTCTCCTCCTCCTCCCAAAAAGAGGAAACTTGAAAACAGTACAATACTACTTGAAGAAAACACTGTTTTCGTGTGCTCTTTTCTTATTAAACCCTCGATATTCAGAAAAGTCACAGACTTCCATAATAAAAGTACAAAAGTGATTTCCTTGATCTTGATCCACAGCACGTAAAAACAAATCAAAACAAAAAACCCCACACAACACAGCTTGAAAAGCAGCTCTTAAGCAAACAAGCATTAACTTCTATGTGCCTGAGCATACTTTTAGACCAGCGCGACAATTCTCTTTTGACCTCCCGCGAGGCCACCGTCTCCCTCCCGGCAGAGTCCTGGAACACAGTAAGGCGTGAAGGGGGCGTCTGCTCAGGGGCAGGCTCTCTGCCGGCCTCGCCGTCGCCCTGCAGGACGCCTTTAGAGGCACACCGGTCCCCCGGCCCCCTACCGCCCGCGAGGCCCGGCCTGACCCCCTCCGGCGCCCCTCAGCTACCTTTCCGCCGGAAGAAGGACATGGCGGGGCCCGGGTCCGGGCGGAGGGCGCGGGGGGACTGTCGCGGAGAGGGCCCGGCTCCCCTCATTCAGCAATTGGCTGGGACTTCCGGGTCCTCGGGAGCCGTCGCACTAGCCCGAAATGAGACCCTTTTTGCGCGTGTCAACCCCACCACCTCCTCGGGATTCCCAAGCAGCTCCTGCCGCCATATTATCAACAAGCCGCCCGCCCGGAGTTCCGGTCCTTCCCCGCGCTAGGCTTCACGGGAGGCCGGCAGCCGGCCCCGCCCCTCCCGCGGGTGCAGGGGCGTGGCCCGCGTCGCCCACGTGACCCTGTGCGCGTGCCACTAGCGACCTGGCTCGGGGCAGGTCTCCGTCGCGGGTCCCGCCCGGTGGGCTCGCCGCAGGGTTCCCTGCTTAAAGCAAGGTATCCTACGCCTCTGGTACTAGGACGCGCTGGCCGACTTACGCGGTTTCACCTCGGATGCTCAGCCACTGCTCTCTCAAGGCAGCAAACGCTCTGGCGCCGAGTGCGAGGCGAACCAGACCCGAGGCGAAAGCGGCTAGGAAGCTCCCTGCGTCGTGACCTCGGGAATGAAAAAGGAGAAATGGGGCTCCTTTCCGAGCGCGATCCCCGCGAGCGCTTAGCTTTGAAAGGGACAGCAGCATAAAAGCATCGCTAGTGAATCATCTTTCAAGTCTTGCTCAAATGCCATTTTCCTGTGACTCTTCTGACCCTCCCTCTAACCTTTAAAGCAAAATGAATCAAGGCTCTCCCTATGCTGTGCCCCTCACCACCCAGTAAGGGCGCTCAGACAGGTGGATGATAATTATAAAAGCAATTGTGGCCAGAGAAGGACCCAGAAAGGCAGTTAACCCAATAAATGTTCGCTGGGTATTTTAGATCAATGAAGTCTTTTT